GTTGTAGAACCATGTTCATGCAGGTGGACTGATGGAAACCACAGCTGGACTCACTTTGGTTCTTTGAGGTTCTGCTCTGGAGCTGAATTTTGATCTTAGTCTTTATGAAGGATGAGTTTGAATTTGTTTATCAGAGGAAATACTCTGGTGTTCTACGTAAAGGTAATCTGATTACTGTGAGGTGACGCTGTGTAGAATTATTTACTCAGAGCTGCTGCTCATGTGCAGTGAAGATAAACGGATCAGCTCGGTGTCTGCAGGTTTAATAAATCCATGTTTACGTGATGTTCCAGGTTCGCTGTCAGTAATAATCCCGTGTGCTCATGATCATGTATGACGTGTCTGTCATACAGCAGGACGGTTGACTGTGTTCACGATTCTCTGCTGTTTCATGTTCTGATGAGTTAATGTTTGCACGTCTTTCATGTGAGATTCGGTGCTTTCAGCTAAATGCTGACACGTAGAGAAGCTCTTCAGGACTGAAAGGTTCAGAAAAGGTGGATCAGAACCACTGAGAAACAGTCAGAACTCTGACAGAGAGCAGAACGATTCAGACGATTCACCTGAGAGCACACACAGGTCCCAAGTTAATGAATCACTGTCAAGACGAGTCCAAGTCTGGAAGAGACGAGTCACTTCAAGTTACTCTGCAAAAGAAAACCATCATTTCCAGACGAGTTCATCAAATATCAAGTCAGCTTAGTTACAAGTGTAGCAACAAGTCACTAGAGACCAGGCCGAGTCAGTGTCCAAGCTGCTCAAGTTACAAGTCTGGTCTCAGATCATCAGGAAAAAAGTTCAAATTTCAAATCATCTTCACGCAAGTCACAGGTCCTCGAGTTTATCACGGTGAAAAGGCCTTTCAGCCTTAAAGACACGACAGAGAACTGAGCGGGTCGGGTCCGAGTGCCCTGAGCAGAACAGCTGCAGGTCCTTTATTCTGATATTGTGTAAAGTAGAGCTGATGTGAAGCTGCTCTTAGCTCAGGTGAGTCTCAGGTTTCAGGTGTAAACAGTCATCAGAGTGTGTGTGATGACAGGAAGGGTGTGTGTCCGACGCCTTTCATCTGCAAATACAGGATTTAGACGAGGAAACTGCAAACACTCATTTCTGTCCGCAGCTTTGATGTTCCAGCGAGAACCTCGGCAGCAGATTTACAGCTTCAGGTCTCAGGGTTCACACTGACAGTCACACATTTACCTGCTACACGTCTGGAGCTTCCAGGTTTCACTGCCTGCTGCTGTTTTCTTCTCATTGTTCGGAGGTGAGACTGAAGCAGCGAATCGTTTTCTCTCGTTTCCTGACGACCATCACACACCTGGAGGGGCGGAGCCTCAGCAGGTAACAGCAGGTAAAGGTTCACCTTTACATCCTGCAGTCAGAGCTGGAGTGAAGCTGGAGGACGACAAGCTGCAGGTGAGATGAAGACACACACAGACACACACACACACACACACACACACAGACACACACAGACACACACACAGATACACACACACACACAAAGACACAGACACACACACACACACAGACACACAAAGGCACAGACACACACACACACACACATAGACACACACACACACACAGACACACACAGACACACAAAGACACAGACACACACAGACACACACACAGACACACAAAGACACAGACACACACAGACACACACACAGACACACACAGACACACACACAAAGACACAGCGACACACACAGACACACACAGACACACAAAGACACAGACACACAGACACACACAGAGACACACAGAGACACACAGACACACACAGAGACACACAGACACAGACACACAGACACACAAAGACACAGACACACACAGAGACACACAGAGACACACACACACACACAGACACACACAGACAGTGTGTGGAGCTTGTTTATAAGCGCACATTCTGTCGTTGTCATTGTTGTCATTGTTGTCGTTGTTGCTGTTGTTGTTGATGTTGTTGGTGCTGTTGTTGCTGTTGTTGTTGTTGGTGCTGTTGTTGCTGTTGCTGCTGTTGTTGTTGTTGTCGTTGTTGTCGATCTTGGACTTTGGTTCTTCTCTAAACCATCTGCTGGTTCTGTGGACTGACATGGGAACCAGCTGAAGCTGATGTTCAGCTTTGTTGTGAAGAACTATGTGGTTCTGAATGACGTGAATCTGCAGAGAACAGCTGTTCGGAACCTGTTGAGTCCCTTCAGATCCGTTTCCGTCCAACGTCTCGGGTTCTGTTCACAGTTTATTTGTTCTTTGGGACCAAAGCTAAGTTCTGGAAAACAGATTGGCAGAATTTTGAAAATTTCATGTTTACAGATCTGGAATTTTCTATTTTCACACTCATGGTTCTGAGGACTCAGACAGAACAGTTCTATCAGAACCACTGGATGGATCCAACAGGACTCAGTTTCATTGTTGATCCAGAAAGTTCCTGTCAGTGTCTGTCTATGGATGGATCCATGGTTCTGTTGAGGCTCTAACATCAGTAGAACCTGATGTGGTGAAGTTGGACCAGACAAGGTTCTGGTTCTTAGACATTAATCTGGATGATGGAACTGTTCTGCCTGGCTCACCAGAGTTCATGTATGTGGAGTTTTATTTGTGGAGACACCGAACCCTGAAAACGGCTTCAGGTTTTAATTTGTTATCATGTTCAGGTTTGAAAACGTGACGTTCTCAGTTTTAGTCACAACAAGCAGAAGGTGAGCTGAAGCAGCAACACCGGTTCTTATCTCTGGACTCAGTCAGAACTTTGTGCTGCTGATTGAAATGATCAAACTGATAAACTGCAGTCAGAGAAGCTGTTTGATGGAACAAACATCTGAAGAGAACTGCAGTTTCATGGACCACACCATGCTCAGGATCATTTTCTCACATTTCATCAGAGTTCTGCTTCACTCCTGTTGAGCTTCTTCCTGCTGATGCTCAGATCTGCAGCTGAACTCACAGAATCTCCTGGAGGCTGAACATGAGTTAAACTGAACCAAAGCTCCTCCCTGAACATCTGCTGAGCTACAGATGTTTACAGATGTTCCCTGAACACCTCAGGGTCTCCTCAGATGTTCTAATGTCAGCTGATTTTATCCACATGTGGCTCATTTTAAACGTCGGTGCTGCAGCTGATTGTGTGAAGATAAAAATGAAGAGCAGTTTGGGTTTTTAGTTCAGTTTTACATTCGTCAGCTATCGATTGGTTCATCATCAGAAGACAACCATCTGAGCAGCCTGATCATCATCACACACTCAGAAGATGAACCGCAACAAATTCTACGGCGCACTCCTACAAACAGGTCTCGCTCTGGAGTTCTGCAGGAATCTGCTCCAGACATTCACCGATAAACTGACGGTTTAGAGACCAGCTGATTGATAAACTGATCAACAGGTGCAGCGATGATCTCTAACTTCTCTCTCGTCTCTGTGTCTCCACAGGATAGACCTCTCTGACTGCCGGATGATGATCGTGGGCGTTTTCAGTCGCTGTTGATCCGACCAGGTGTCCTCGGCAGTTATTGGTCAGTCCAGGTCACATGATGAGCTCCGCCTTCTCCCCGTCCTACCTGAGTTTCAGTGTGTCTCCCTCTGCTGGTCTCTGTGAGGATCGCGGCGTCTCTCAGCACTCGGACTCGGTGTCAGGCTCTGTCCCCTTCCTGTTGTACCCGCCCGGCGTGGACACCGCCGGCCTCGGCCTCTACCAGAACCCCCTGCGGGGCGGCGGCCTGCTGCCCTACCTGAGCCCCTTCCACCCCCACGGACACTTCAGCGTCTACGAGTGTCCCTTCGAGCCGGCCTTCATCCAGAAGAGGAACGAGCGTGAGCGTCAGCGGGTGAAGTGCGTGAATCAGGGCTACGCCAAGCTGAGGGATCACCTGCCGGGACACAGCGCCGACAAGCGGCTCAGCAAGGTGGAGACGCTGCGCGCTGCCATCAGTTACATCAAGTACCTGCAGGGCCTGGTGGAGGAGGAGGAGCCAAGTGGCAGGGCCACGCCCAAAACCTCATCACCTGCAGAGTGTGGAGGAGAGTCGGAGGGCTGCACAGGTTAGCGTCCACCTGGAGCTACACCTGAATGCTTCACCTGAACGTTACACCTGGTTCAGCCTGCAGGACAGAAACTCTTTGGACCTGACACTTATTGGTCCATGACCAATCACTTTTTCCTCACCTGTGTGATGTCACTATGAGGCACTGTCAGTTAGCCTCTCCCTGATTCGTCATGCTCCGGTCATGTGACTTTACACCTTTTTTTAAAAACTTTCCCTGAACTACTGAGACTTTGTTGGTAATCTTTTCAGAAAAGGCCTCAGTGAGTGCTTGAACCTTCGGATGATCCTGGTTCTGGTTCTGGTTTGTGTATAAAACTGCTCCAGTATTTCTCTATTCGTCTGTAATGACTCAGAATTTCTCCAAAATGACATAAAATGATGAGAATGTGTCCAGAAGCCGTCGGACTGGTCGACAGCGAGTCAAACTGGTTTGTTGCTTTTAAAGCTGATGATTAACTGATTACATTCATGTTATTGATCCAGTCTCAGTGAATCAGAACATCCAACGCTTCAGAGAAAAAGGTTTGGTTTCGTGAATTCACCTGTCTGCTCAGATTAGTCCTGTTTAACCAGCTCATTCTGTAGACTATTCAGCAGGCTGCTAACTAGGAGCAGATCGGAACGAGTCTCACCTCACTAACCACCCACCACCGCTGCTACAGCTTCATGGAACCAGCTACTTATTGTACGGGTGATGAATCCAGTTTGATTTACCGCTAACTAACCCACCCGCTCCACCCGTCCACGTGGTCCTCAGTGAAACTCCAGCAACATCTCAGAGTAAACCTGGAGTTCTTCAGACCGACCAGAACATCAGAACCATGAAGGCTTCAGCATTAAACGCTGCATTTCCTGTTTTATGAGAATTACAGCGTCGCATCAGATAAACCTGGAACAGAAAATGCAAACCAGAGAGATCAAAACTCATTAAAAGCTTTAAGCACTCTGGAGGAGGTCTGAACTCACGTCAGTCAGAGCAGCGATACGATTGGCTGCTCGCTACCTGTTCAGGTGTTCCAGAGCCACCATTTTTGTCGTCAACAAACCATCTACTGATGAGCCACAAATCAGGTTTAAAGGCAGAATTAAACACAAAGATGACAGAAAGTGACATCATCTTAAATCTGTGATGATCACTACACTGATTATTGATTATTTTTAATCAGGAAAAACTACTGAGAGCAGAACCGCGTCCCAAACGAGCCGCCGATACAAACGACCAATAAAAACAAATAAAGCTAGCAGGTTACTTAGTCAGGTTAGTTTGTTGGTCAGTTAGTGAGTTAGTTAGTTAGTTGGTTGGTTGGTTAGTTAGTCGGTTAGTTAGCTAGTCTCCTGCAGCTCTGGAAGTGTCCAGACTCGTGGTTTTCACTTCTGGGAACCTCGTTTCTGTCGTCACTGGACAGTCTGTGACGGTCTTTACCAGGTTACCCGTTAACTGACCCACATCCTGCAGACCAGCCGTCTCCTGAACTGGAGCAGAGAAACCAGTCCATCAGGGATCATTAAATATCGACTTTATTCCATATTGATCTGAGCAGACGATGAAGCAGAGCAAGTTTCCACCAAACAAACAAGCGTTAGAAAAATAAAAAGCTTTTCTGACTCAAACATCACCGTAGCTTCTCGTGTGGTTCCAGTCCAACACGTGTGCATCCTGTAGCTTCCAACACACGTGTTAGCGTGTCGCTGTGGTTCCTGCACAAACCTTCTTTAGAGCTGAACGTCCAGCAGCTGAGATTCTGAAGTTCTCCTCTGACCCGGTTCTGTCACGGATGTTTTACAAATTCAAATAAAACACAGTAACCTACACCTGTCCTGCATCTGTTCTTTGCTGTGTCTCCGTGTTCTCACTGTTTTTATGGTAAACATGAGGATCAAGCCGCCTGCTTTTAATCATAAAGACTCGTTTAGAACTCAGAGCGTCTCTGCAGCTTCTGCTCCCAGCTCACACGCTGCTTATGAGTTCATCACACAGAAGCAGCAACACTGAGAACATCTGGATGAGCACATCTGGATGAGCACATCTGGAGGAGCACATCTGGAGGAGCACATCTGGATGAGAACATCTGGACGTTCAGGCTCTGGTGTTCAATCCAAACACACACCAGAGTAAAGGAGTGAAGCTGTGAGAAGCACTCGTCTCGCTTCTGCTCCAGAGTTCGTAGTCTGAGCTGCTGTGGGTGGAACAGCGCCTCCTGCTGGACGTTCAGCTCACACACTGATTATTAGCACAACACTGATTATTGATTATTGACACTGGCACACGTCATCTTTGGCTTTGAAGAGAAAACAGCAACACAAAGAGCCTCAGAGCAGCTCTGAGCTGCTTCCTGTCTGATGAAGCTGCTGATCAACAGGAGGGCTACGTTATTGATCCTTTAACAGGAAAGCATCAATCAATCAGCGGTTTGTCTCTAAATAACAAACACGTGGATCAGAGGTTCCTCAGATGTCTGGTTCCGTCCAGAGATGTTCAGTTTACAGAAACCAGAAAGCATCCACTGAGGAAGCTGCAGTCACAGTTTAACTGATTTAATTTTAAAATATGTCAGACAGATGAATCAACTGAATTAATTAGTTTAATGAACACACTTGCAGCTGACGATTCAGGAACATCTTCCATCAGACCAACCTTGAATCACTTGTGCTGATTTTTGTCTTTTAAATGAGAATATTTCCAGCAAACGTCCTGAATGAGAGGCTTTCATTCTTCTGTTTTGGACAATAGTGAAGTCGGACCACTGGACTCAGAACAAAGTGATGAGCGTCACATTTACTTCAGTCTGGAGACGACTGGACGTCTCACTGGACCTGAAACCCATTTTTACCAACTTATCACAGAAAACGCTGCAGGTGGGACGAAACCAGCGGAACATCTTCCTTCGCTCTGAGCCAGAACCAGGCCGCAGTGAAGCAGCAGCTTGTTTCTGAAATACTGAAAGTCTGGGCGCTGCAGACGTTTGACTGTGAACCTCCTCCAGGTTCCTCACAGTGATCCCCCAACACCGCCTTAATAACAGGCTAACACCACCCTAACACCACCTTAACACCCTAACCACAGCGTAACGCCACGTCTCGGCTGCTCTCTGACCTCCTCAGTCACTTCTGAAGCTCGCTGCATTGAGCTAAAACCTGCAGAAACACAGACTGCAGCTCTTCATGCGTCCTGCAGGCTGAGGGCGGCCATGCGCTGCTGCACGCTGCGGCGATGCTGCGGCTGCAGCACGTACGCGATGCTCTGCTCCACCTCCTGGCAGCGCCGCAGGAAGCGGCAGCGGTCACGAGCAAACTCCTCCCAGGGGCCTCGGCGGTCCTCGTCCTCACCGCCGCTGGTGAAGAACTCCTCAACGTGGTCGCAGAAACGGACCTGCAGGAGAAGAAGGAGGTTAGAGACCAAGCTCAGGCCAACAGACACTCAGAAAACATCTGGTGGTGGAACATCTTTCTACATGATGGTGGAACATCTTTCTACGGCTGATAAGCAGAGAGGAGAGCTCAGTAGCTCCAGGGTTTAACATCTGGGGAAACATGTTGGTTCCTGGTCTTCACAATCATGTAAACTAAACAGCACCTTCTTTTCCTTCTTTCTGAAGTGTCTCTACTTTATACTGGAGTGAGAATGAGGCCCAGAGAGGAACCCTGAGGAGCTGCTGAGTGCAGCAGGTTGAAAGTCTGGAGGCTGTAAATCAGTAACTGAGCTTCACTCGGTGTCAGCGCCGGGTCACATGACGGAGCCGAGGAGCTCAAACATTGTGTCCTCAAACGTTTCCTTCTCCTCTGTTGAGCAGCTGAGCGTTAGCAAGATGTTCTGCCTGTGAAGCATTTCGACATCCTGGCCCTGGACCGTATCAGCTGCTGGCTTCTGTTAAACAGTAACGTCCCCGACACGTGTCTGCCCAAACCCCGACCCTGACCCGAGCCCTGCTTCCACATGTCCTGGTCCTGAACAGACCTCATCGTCACCAAACATCTCTGAGCCCACAGGTTTGTCTTTCTGTCTTTTAAATCACAGGAAACTGAACACATGCATTTTCAGAGGAGCTGTCACTAATAACCGATCAGTAGTTAACGGCTGACGGAACCATCATTCATCAGCTCGTTCTTTACGTCTAAGTTCTGTGGCTTCAGCTTTTCTGGTCTCTTTCCTCTGTGACGGTAACTGAACATCTGGACAGAGGAAGCTCTGAACCTCAGCCTAAACTTTTCTCAGTTTGTCTGACTGGTTCTGTCCAGACTTCATTTACAATATCTTCTCCCTCTAACTGTCCATTTCCCTGAAAACGGACCAGAACTGCTCCAACCCGGTGGTTCTACTGACTGGGAGCTGTTTTTGCTCCCTGGACGTGTCTCTGTGCTGCTGACTGAACAAACCCACTGACCTTCTTGCTGCAGCTCTGAGTTCTGGACGGTTCAGAGAAGCCGCTGTCCAGCCTCTCCTCAGCCTCCTCCCTCCGGTATCGGGGGGCAGACGCCGGTCGATGGTGAGGAGGGACCCGGGGCGTCGACGAGGCCTCCTTCCCCCAGACCTGGGCTCCGTGGGGGGCGTCGGCGGGCCCCCGAGTCCTGAGTGGAGCCTGGAAGTTGAAGGGGCTGTAGGGGTCGGAGGAGCTGAAGGAGCTCCACAGACGGAGGCTTTCGGCTTCGTCTGTCTCGCTGGCCGACGCCGAGTCGTCCCAGACGTCAAGTCCGGAGGGCGGAGAGGCGGGCAGCAGGGGGGAGGCGGTGGGGGAGGAGGCCGGGGAGGACTGGGCGGAGGATGGCGGCGTGGAGGTGGGGATGGACCGGGGCCCACTGCCACTCTGCAGCTGGGCCGTGAAGTTCTGGGGGTTGTACGGGTCCTGGCTCTGGCACAGGGAGCTCCACAGACGGTCCGACTCCAAGTCGACCTCCGAGTCCGAGTCGTCGTCCGTGGAGTCGGACAGGTCGGACGAGCCCTCGCTGTCGAAGCCGTCATCGCCGCCGCTGTCTGACTGGCTGCTGTCGTCGTCGCTGCAGGGGCAGCCCATGATGAAGGCGATGGCTTTGTTCTGGCACTGGGGGGGGCTGGGACCCGAGGCCCCCCCAGGCCCGCCCTGCTGGGCCGTCTGGGGCTCTTCCACCTCCCCCGACTCGCAGACCTCCTCCATCCCAGCAGAGCTCTCGGGGCTTCGGGCCTTCAGCTGCTCCTCCTCAAGGCTGCAGTAACCGTGGTCCTGCTCGCGGGTCAGAACCGTGACCTCGCTGCAGGCGGCTCCGAAACTGTTCAGCTGGGTTCTGATGCTGAGGTGGCGATCTGGCCCAGACCCCTCCGTGTTCTGGACGGTGTGGAGGCCTGCTTTGTGGGCCAGTGGCCCTTTGTGGCGGCCCGGTCCAGAGCCTTCTCCCAGCGCCCAGTCTCTGCTGGGGACAAACACCTTTGTCTCTGCAGGTGGAGGACAAAGCCGGCCCGGAGCCAGCCCGTCCTCAGCCCAGGGCAGCTCTGACAACAGCCCCCTCTGCGAGCCCTCCTCGGCCCCCCACAAGCTGCCCCACCAGCCCCGGCCGGCGCCGCTGCTGGCTGGGGGGCTGCCGGCCTCCGACGCCCAGTCGCTGCCGCCGGGGGGCTTCATCTCCGGAGAGCTCAGCAGAACCTGGTTCATAAGAGTCCTGACATAAGAGAAATATCCGAGCTGAGTGTGGTGGCAGAGGTTTAGGTCCAACTCGGCCTCGCTCTGGAGGCCTGATTCCCGCAGAGAGTGGGCGGCCATCCAGCCCGCAGCGCCGCCGGGCCGCGGCTCCAGCAGGCCGCCGCCGGGGTCACATCGCAGGTAGGCCAGGGGAGGCGGGTGCGGCATCATGTCATCCAGCTGTCGCAAAAACTCAGTTTCTTCACTAACAAAGCTGCTGTTTAAATCCGCGGTGAGCCAACCGGAGCCCTTCTCAGCCAGAGCCGGGCTCCGGAGCCGCGGGCCCGGCAGGATCCTCTGCAGGAGGGCCAGCGCGGGCCTGGACAGCAGCCGAATCCACGAGCTTTCCTGGCTAACAAGCCCGGAGGAGGAGACGCCATGGCCGGGCGAAGAGGACGGGCTGTGTCCGCCGGATAAAGGGCCTTCACTATTCATATTTCTGAACATTTTATCAACTTGAAGTGCAAAAATCTACTTTTCTGATACGAACTGAGCTCAACTCTACCGTGACCCGGAGACAGGCGGTCCTCTGCGGTGACAGCTGTCAAACTGCCGCGGCTCAGTCCGGCTCAGCAGCACCAACTGTCGGTGCTCTGCTTCACTCACGCCGGGCCTCTACAGAACCTCGGTCTGGACCGGACTAGAACACATACCGACCGGCAGACACGCAGGACAGCCAGGAAACATCGTCCGTGAACGCGGCGCTGACCGCGGCGGGGAGCTGAGAATGGTGGTTGGACTTCTTCCTGGTGGAGAACTCGGAGCCGGGACACACGGAGGGGCAGAGCACGGGGGAGTCACGGAGCGAAGAAAGACCCAGGAGCGAGGACGACAAACGAGCCATTCTGTCTGATTTCAGTCTCCGGGAGAAGGCGGCGCTGGGAGGTCTCCTTCGGGGCGACGGCGGTTAGCACTTTAGCTTAGCACAAGGAGCTAATTAGCTCGACGGTCAGTCGGCAGAGATCCGACGAAAGATAACAAAATATGATGCAAAACCGCCACAGACTCGCTTCCGTGTCCGGTTTCCTTTCTCCCGGTGTTGATACTGCTTCAGAGGGCCGGTTGACCGCCGTGTGGCTCCGTCTGACCGTCGGTTAGCTACGTCGGTTAGCTCCGCTAGCTCCAGCTGCCGATTTCATCAGAAACTTCGGGGACCGTCCGCAACTCGTCTTCCGTTTCCGCGAAGCCGCGTTCAGGGACCGTCGCGGTGTTCGTGGAGCCGAGAGCCGCGCAGCCGCAGTGTGTCGGTGTGTGTGCGTTACATAAGGTGTGTGTGCTCCACGTGTTCCTCCTTCAGCTCAGCTTCTGTATCTGTAGTTTAACCATGTGGATCCAGAAATAGCAGCTGAGCAGCAGCTGGACCGTCACGTGTTCAGCAGGCTCTGTTCTGTTTTCTACAGTGTGTTTCTTCCTGTTCATGTCGTTCATGAGCTCCAGAGATCAGCTGCTGCTCTGCTCCATGTTTGTTTAAAGCTTCTTCTTCACCAGCAGCTCAAGACATTTTAACCAAAGTCTCTGAGAAAACAAAGTGAAACATGTAATAAACACAGCAGCTTTTAAAAGGCGCCTTGTTGTCTTTCATCACACTTTGACTGTAATGAGACGTTTCAGGCACAGAACTGGAGACAAGCACAGTCTGGTTTTGGTTAAACTAGGAAGGTTCTGACTGGACGGAGGAGTTGGTTTGCAGGTTCTTTGTGTTCCAGTAACAGAGTTTATTCATTCATACTTGTTATTTGTGGAAGAAGCAGCAGGATGAAAACCCGACAGACGCTGAAGCTCCATGTCACTGCACTCAGTTACTTAGAGTAAAAATACTCAGTTACTGCTGCCAGTCCTGCATGCAGCAGTGCTGGATGCTTTTCAAGATGAATCACATGAAATGATTGAACTTTGATGAAGTGTTCAATCAGCTGCAGTCCACCTTAAAAATATGAATGTTTATTAAAATAATAAAAACAGAATGAAGCTGGAGTCAGTGGACAGAAGACAGGTTTTAGTTCATTAAGCAAAACTCCATCCATCATCGCTACACCTTAATCCTCACTATGGGGGGCGGAGCCTATCCCAGCTGACTCAGGGTGAAGGCAGGTTCACCTGGACAGGTAACCAGTCTATCACAGGGCTACACTTAGAGACAGACAACCAAGCACACTCACATTCACACCTACGGACAATTTACAATCACCAATTAACCTCAGCATGTTTCTGGACTGTGGGAGGAAGCCGGAGAACCCGGAGACAACCCACGCTGCACGGGGAGAACATGGAGACTCCACGCAGGAAGATCCCGGGTGTCCTCACCGGGACGCGAACCAGCGACCTTCTAGCTGCTAACAATGCTAACCACCTGCATATATAATTAACTTCTAACCTTAATTTTAAATGCAAGACTTCAAGGATTCTCATGAAAGTCCAAACGCATCATTACTCATTAGCGAAGGAGAAGAACCGTAGACCGGAACAGATAATAAAACATAGAAGACAAAAAGACGTTTCCAGTTCAAGTTTAATCTTTAGTGCAAATAATAAAAAACTGAAGGTTACACATGAATCAGTCTTCAGTCGTCACATCTTCACTCGTATGTACAAAGATTCAGGTCAGAGTCTCACTTCTTCAACAGGCGATCGGATTCTGCTCAACATTCAAACATTCTCCACCAATAAAACCTTCAAACCACTAAAGCTTCTTCCCTCCTGGTTCCGCCCGGTTCTCCAGGACGGACTCAGCTGTGAACACGATTCCAGGATGAAGTGCAGGCAGCAGAGAGGAAACTGATGGAACCGTAATAGTTAAACGTGTGCAGGACGAGGAGCCTCCATGGGTCCCAGTGTTTAACATCTGTGGAACCACGCTGGACACGATGGGTCCAGGATTTTACTCTTTTGTAAAATAAATAATCAGATAAACGTTCCTTCGCTCTGGTCTCCATGGTTCTGAGTCCTGCTGACAGAAGACGTCTCTGAGTTCTGTCTCCTCCTTCATGTGGTTCTGGTTCCTCAGAGCTGCAGGACTTCATGCTGAAACATGAACCAGTGAAGGAGCAGGAGACGGAACCTGTAGATCAGAGCTGCAGAGATGATAGCTCATAGATTACAGATTACAGATTACACATGGACTCATCCATGAGAAGCAGACTTGTGATGTTCAGCTGGTTTGTTGGAGGAGAAAAGACTGAATGTTCACAGCAGCCGGGTCGTCCTGTTACAGAGCAGACATCAGTGCTTCCTCTGTTTCAATACAGCGCTAAAACCAACCACCTCCTGCTACAGTCCACTGGACCATCCGAACCAGCCAGAACCACAGGCACAGACACGGGTCACAACCAAGGAATGACATGAAGACTCAGGAGTAGAACAGGTCCAACATCACGTCAGCTCAAAGCTCCACCTGAAGCTGGACTCAGAACGAGCTCAGGACTCTAATTCATCATCAACATCCCTGAAATTCGTCAGAGGATCGATTTCTGACGCAGACTTTAAAAACGTGTTCCTGGGGAACCGTGTGCTTCTCCTCCCGCTGTGGCCCGTCTCCTTCCTCTCCTGACAGAAATCTGTTTCTAACCTCATTCAGCAGAAAACAAAGTGAAATGAAAACGGAGCAGATTCATCCTGAGGACCAGCATCTGTCTGGCTTCATCGACAGCTGAAAGCCGCTGAAGAGGAAACTGCAGAAGCTTCTTCGTCGTGTCGTCTCCTCGTGCATCCTGAACCCGTCTGCAGGAGCCTCAGCTCACATGAAACCTGTTCAATGTCCACGTGATCCTTCTCATCGGTTAAAGTGGAGTTAGGAGAACTAGTCAGTTAGTACGACTGGTTAACTGTTTACTGAGTAGTTTGTTTCAAACTTCAGAAGGAGCTGATCGGCCTCCTTCACCTTTTAATCCCATAAATTACCAATAAAACTGTTTCATCACTAAACCGCCGTCTCAGATTAGTAAAGCTCCACCTTCAGCTCAACACTAGACCTAAGCCACACGGACGAACTGGGTTTCCCTTCACAGGACCGGCGCCAACCATCAGTGGGCTGAGTCAGAGCCGGCGGTGCCCAGCTGGTGCCAGTCGACCCAGTGCTGACCCGGTACCAGCCTCCTCAGAGGGATGAAGGTCTCCCCCAGCAGGGTGTTCTCCCAGAAGGCCCCGTCGCCCAGAACTCGGAGGTGGATCACTCTCTGGTCCAGGTCCCCTCGAGGGATCCGCTCATACACCAGCTGAAGAAACAGAACAAAGTGCAGGTCAGACAAGTGGCTGAGATGAACATCAGTTCTGACTGAACTGCTTTAAACGTGGTGAGAACAATCATCTGTCAGGGTTCTGAGGAGACAAACCTCCTGTTGGTTCTTTCACCTCAAGAACCAGCAAGAGACAAGAAATCA